AGTGAAATTATTTAAATACGAATTTACGATCTCGAAATTATAACGCGCGCTGTTATAATATTATTTGAAAAAAAAAAAAAAGAGAGAAATAATAATAAACATCCAATATTATATGGATAAACATAATTGAGCTTGTGTTAAGACTAATTTGCATAATTTATCCGTGCAAGTAGATATTCAGGATACTAATAATAATTTGTTATCCCACTGAACTGTAATATTTTAATATTATCTCGATACGCGCATCTGTTGATAATTCTATATTTTCTGTTTATCATATTGCAACTTGTTGTTACGAATAATAATTTTAACGAAAGAAACGGAATCTGAATGACTGAGAAGTCGAGTATAACTCGAATATACTTCGAATATATTACATCGCGTGGAGAGGGGAAAAAATTTTCGTTATTTAACCAGCAGAAAGAAAATTCAATTAACGACGAAACAAAAACTATATAAAATTCGTTTCAAAAATTGTTCGTTAAACTTCTCGTTTAAAAAAGAATTTTTTTTTTAAAAATCTATTATTCTAAATCAACATCATAATGACCAAAATCAGGAAAAATTTCTTCCAATGTTGTAATTAATTGGAATTGGAAAAACTAAACTGTCGACGTATGATGTCCACTATATAATAATTCTACAAATTACACTCGTCAGCCAACGTGTCATCCTGGAAAATTTATTCATTTTTTTCTTTTCTCTCCATTCGTCCACCATGGACTCAGCCATTCCTAATATTTCTTCTCCATTCCAAAAGTAATAATAATAATAATAACAATTTTGCTTCTCTCAAAGGGTGGAAAAACCTCACCCTCGAATAAACTTGTATATTAAAAGAGATTATCATCCTCGATCGTCGCGTTTATAAATCGATGTAACATTTGAAGGCTCGATCTCAAGAGTTTCTCAAAGGGAGAGAAACTTGAAGGGGCGATTCCAGAAATCCTCTTCCAGGTTATTAGATTCTTAGCTTCTCTTTCACTCACTCTCTCTGGTAAAGAAATCGTAATTTCTTCGTTCCGCATGGTTAAACCTTTCTGTGGCCAAGCTACTTGAGTTTATCACGAAATATCTCGATATATATATATATTCTATGGGCAAAGTTATAAAGGCCGACATACACGACTCGACAAACTCGGTTGGAGAAGAACTCCTTGAACTTTCATCGCCTCTTTAGCTGGCGAGAGCGACATTAGAGTTCCACGATTTATGGAACGTTCAACGAGGATGTTATGAGCTTTTGCGCGGACGTATCGTGATGGATGAAGTAAGTAAGTTGAAAGAATAAAACAGACGTGGAAACGTTTTAACTTGGCTTAGGGGCTGGGTGACGGTTTAAAGCGTAATTTCAATTTAACATGTGTGTGCAAGTGAGTATTTAAGTTTCGATAAAAATCTGATCTTGAATAAGGAATAATTCTGTAAGTGTGAAAGTTGAAGGAAGAATAAGTTAGAGATCGAATTTGGATCTTAGCTGAGACGTATCGAGATGGATGTATAATGTAAGAAATGTAATTCTAAAAGAATAAATGGAAGATTTAACTCGAGTATAATTTTGTCTTCAATTAAATCTAATCTTAGAGAAGTTGAAAAGGAAGGAATAAGCATATAAGCTTAATTCTTTAACTGAGATTTACTTTGATCTGATGAGAAACATGTAATATAAATTCTTAAATATTGAAAGGAGAATGAGTGAAAGACTTAGGTTCTTAATTTGGTCTAAGATTAAATCTAACATTTTTGATTTTGAGAAAGAATAAGTAAAAATATTTCTCGGAGAGTTAATTTCCACCAAAACTCAGATTCAATCTTGGGATTGGAGAAAGAAAAAGCAAAATACTCGGCAGAGATCTGGTTAATTTAATCTCGAGAGAATTAAAAAGGATGTAAAAGATCTAATTGTAAAATTTAATTCCAACCAAAACCAGACCTGATCCCAGGTTTAATCTCAAGATTGGAAAAAAAAATCCATTTAATTTAGACCACGATCTAATCCTAATCCAAATCAAAGAAAGAACAAAAAAACATTTAATTCAAACCTCTAATTGAGATAAAACCTCATTTTAAACTTGCGTATCCTCGACCTGATCGAGAAAGAAAAATGGATAACTCTTTCCAAACTCTTTCGTATCCAAAACGTAGTTCATTCTCGATTCCTCCTCTCCCTAACTGGAACTAACTGAAACGTGAAATACGCGGACATAAACGGAATGTTGAGACTCGAGTAATTAAGGGAGGAGGTAATTTATCAGGGAACGATGGTTGGAGGCAAAGGAGGATGTCGTTACTCATGCGCGGCCCACCGTAATCTTAATAACGGTTTCGCCACCAGGTTAGCCTTCCTTCAACTCGTTTTCCTTCCTCCCTCACGCTAAACTTTCTTCACCCCTCACTTCAACCCTTGATCTCTTTCTTCCTATAAGAAGAAAACAACACGGTTAATTGGTCGATCTGTGGGTTTCTGCAAAGGATTTTCGAGCAAATCCGTCCATTTTTTCGAATTTCTCGAAATTTTATATTCGAGTTTGGAAGAGAAAATAAAACGGTGTTGGAACTAGCTCTCTTAGTTTCTCGTTCGTTCTCGAACTCGATAGGGAGACTCTTTTTTTAGGGGAGAGAGGAAGATGCTCGAAAAAAGTCGTGCAAGTTTCCCTTTGGCAAGGGGCGAAACAAGTTCAAAGCCGTTAAGTGGGTCAGAAACGGGTAAAAAGACGTCGAGAAAGAGGAATTGGAAGGAAGTGGATAGTTGTCGTGGAAACTACGCGTGTATATCCGTCGCTTCGAAAGTCGAAACACATTTCGTCCATCAGTGTACGCTGATTTCCTAGCTTTCGACCTGTCACG